ACCCAGAAAATCCTAGACTTTTCCAAAAACCCATTTTTCAAAAAATGATTTTTTTCCTTCACAATAACACATTTGAATCGATGTGAGTGAGAGAGATAGAGTATCCGATAAAAAACACATAAAAACACAACAATACACTGAATCGAAGAGGTATGACAAGTAGATTATATCGACAATGTAAAGACGTAAGGATTTAGTATTTTTACTGGAGAAAATGTCGATTTATGTGTGTCGTATTCTCCTGTCATTTCATCTTCTCTAGGCTGAGAAAAGAAGCAGTTTTAGAAGAAAAAAAGTAACTTTTCTGAGGCGGTTCGCAATGTTTTAGTCTTACTTATCCTTTAAACCGTGTGTTTTCATGGGTTGGGCTTTTTTTTAAAATGTTTTTCGGGGTTTTGGGCCTTTTTAAAGCGTTTTTTCGTGTGTCGGGCTTTTTAAGTGTTTTTCGTGGAATGTATCTTTTTCTGTCCTTTTTAAAATTGTTTTTTCTTCTTTTTTTTTGTCAAGGCAATTGACCACTGTTATAAGGTTTATAAAGATTTTTAAACGTATTTTTAAAGCCTTTCTTTTCTAAAAATTTCATGTCTTCTCAATGTATGGCGAATTTTAGAGACGTGTTTAGTGAAGTTTGGTCCACAATACAAGAAATGCAGCTCGTAGAGACATCGTTTTATACGGCATCGTTTTACAGAAAACTGATCAAATATAAATTGTTTGGAAACAAAGTTATCAACTTTAATCATCCAGACATGTTTTTGAATTCCATTCATTCACTTTTCTGCTTGCCTGCTCAATTTTACAAATTTCCCTCAAATTTATCCCACGCTGCCTGCAAATCGTAACAAAATGTTAAGTAGATAAATATTATTAAGATAACTATAAGAAAAAACAATAGGTAACAAATTAACACTTACATTAATACACTAGATAATTTTGTTCGCCAAGTAGTTGTGTTCATCATCACCGCGAGGCTGTTTGTCTGGATGAGTAATCATTACTGCTTTTTTCTTGAACAGCTTCAACTCACCTTGAGTTCTAAAACCCTTAAATTTTATCCAACTAGTGCTGGACCAAAGAATCTGTAACAACAAGGTAACCAATGAAAGTTAAAACTTCAAAATCCAGTTTGTTGTGTGTAAAAAACCCTTATAAAAACTTCAAATTCGGTGCCTGACTGTGTAAGAAATCCTTATAAACACTGTTATAATAATCTATATACAATGTGTAAAAAACCCTTATAAAAACTTCAAATTTGGTGCCGGACTGTGTAAAAAAACCCTTATAAAAACCGTTAAAAACTGTTATAACAATCTATATACAATGGGTTAAAAATTCTTTCAATCATCAATAGGAAACATACCTCGTGCAATGTCTGCATCAACGCGCTGAAATCCTTGTTACGCGCCCAATTGTCCACTTTTTTTCGATTATTAGTTTTTCTTCGGTACTTAAGAGTACTTTTTCAGGTTGTGTGCTCGATAGTGCTGGGGTGCTCTGGCTTTGCTGCTCCTGTGTGCGCGATGCCTGACTTTGCTGCTCCGGTGCTCCCGAGGCTTGGCTTTGCTGCCCTTGTGCTCCTGGTGCCTGGCTCTGTTGCTCCTGGCTGCTGTCTTTGGTGCCTGGCTGGTTTTCATTTTTATCGTCGAAGATAGACGTAATATCTGGCTCTCCTTCAACCCTCTCATCTTCTCTTATATCCATTGATTCATCATCGAATGATTCATCATTTACTTCCTGATCCGATTCTACTTCCTCCACAATCTATTTGTAAGAAATATAAAGATTTTTGTAAGGCACATAAGACTTTTATAAGGCAAATAAGATTTTATATTTTACGTCAGGCGATTTATACCGGATCAGCATGAGAAGCGTGGGTTTCCTCTTCTTCAAAGTGATCTTTAACTCCCACATACTCCTCGGGATCAGTTGTGCCAGTATCCTCTGCAACCTACAGGGTTTATAAAAGGTTAGAAAATTATAAAGGTTTTAAACAGAGTTTAAACAGGTTTTATAAGAAAATTTAAAGGAAAATAAGATTTTATATTTACAACAGGCGATTCATACCGGATCAACAGAAGCGTGGGTTTCTTCTTCTTCTAAGTGGTCTTTAACTCCCACATTCTCCGCTGCATGAGGTGGAGTCTTGTCCTCTGCAGCCTACAGAGGTTTATAAAGGGTTAGAAAATTATAAATATTTTAAACAGAGTTTAAATAGTTTTTATAAAGATTTTTAAAGGATTTTATAAAACTTTTTTAGAGAATGTAATTCTTACAATTTTGTTTATGTTCTCTAGATTCTCTTCATCTCCTCCCAAACCTGAAGTGGTGGAGGGTCCTGCCTCGTCATAGGTGGTGTTAACTGGGGAATCATTATCCTTCAAAACAAAATTATAGAATCAATGTTAAAAGTTACAAACTGTATAAAATATCTGTAAAAAGAATCTTTCTATAAGTAGGTATACCTTAGTTTCATTCTCCGTATTCTTTTTTTCAAATACAATTTCTACATCGTCACTTGAGTCATCAGAATTCTGATGATCATCAACATTAATTGGATGATCATCAATATTAATTGGATGATCATCAACATTAATTGGATGATTGGCCTGCGAATTCTGATGATCATCAACATTGATGGGATGATTGGCCTGCGAAGATACAATATAATTAACTATAGATACAATAGAAGATACAACTGATACAATAGAAGATACAATATAATTACCTATTTTTCTTTGTGTTTGTCTTTGATAACTTTTTCAATTACCACCACACAGTTGAGAAGGGTGTCACATTTACTGAGAATCGTGTCAAATTTCTCATCAAGACACATTCTTTTGCGTTGT